TGCGCAAAAACTGCGCATGTGCATTTTTTGGATAGGAGGCGGTTCTTTCCAAAATTTGTGAAAATCCTCCTGTACAGTATATCTTCAGGATAACTGAATTACATAAAGAGAGAAACCATGAATCTGGACCGGTGCCACATGCCACCTGGTAAAACAGCACTGTTTCACTCCAAGCGATGCTTGCGTCAAACTGTGGCTGTTCACTTTGTCACATTATCCGTCTTAATTCAACTGGGATATATGCACATACATGATGGAATTTGTAAATCGCACTGTGGCACACCTTTATCATTGGAAACAATCACACGCCGACACCGACAGCTGACACTGAAACAAAACAAAAAAACTCTGCAGCCTTTATTAACAATGGAAAATCAAACAAGGACCAAAAAGTCTTTACTAGTCTTCTCACAATGTTTTCTTTTCACATTATTTTAACCAATAGGTGATGATACATAAACAAAACAACATCTGAAGGCACACTAACGTGTCATGGCACAGTGGTTGAAAAACACTAGTGTAGATAACCTTTGCATCCCACTTTGGGTATAAATGCATGAATATGGTCAAAAGGATTATGTCTAAAGTGGGATTTAAACCCACATCTCCAGGGGAGACAGCAACTTTAGCTCAGCGCCTTAAACCTCTTGGCCATCCTGACTAAATGGTACCGCTAAATATTTGGTTTTTAGAATTCTTTATCTATTTATTTTTTTATTTTCTTGTATGTTATGTTTTTTTACATATTTCATATAATATTTGGATGTATGTAATATTTATCATTTGGTATGTTCTAATACAAGAGGAGAGAAAGGTCTGAATCTGTAAGATATGTGTTATATACTTTTCAAACGCTATCAAACACAGGACTGTGCCTGATTTCAAGAACTACCCCGCCTCCCTGTGGTAACTGAGAGACGTCACAACTGAACGCTACAATCCTATAAAATCAGATTTAAAATGTATTTTCCTACCTATCATTATAAATGCTAGTTGATTAATTTGCAATGTAGTCAGTAGAAGTCATGAGGTTTCAGATTCAGATTCAGATTCATTTGATTTGCCATTTGCAGTATAACCACATTGGAATACATTTGCAAAAATCCCCAGGGGCACAAGAGAAGTCCACGTTCATCCAAGGGTCCTGACTAAAATGTTCTTTACTTAAAATGACCTGTGGGACACAGCAGTCAATACAAAAGTGAATGTATCCTTTCAGAGCGTCACTTAATTTACATCATCTGACTGAAATACAGACAAGTCAGTGGCATCATTGCTGCCCTGTAGCTTCATGTTGGTCTCCTCAGACCAGCACTGCACATTACGAGAAGTTGGTTTGTGTTGCCTGATCCTCTGACTGTATGAAGGAAGAATGAGAACGAGAGGAGTGATTAGACTTACCAAAAAGAGGTCTGATACTGGACCTGTAAGCTACCTTCAAGTTGCCATAACAGTGATCAAAGATTTGTGCTCCTCTTGTAACTTTAAAGGAGCTATACCCGTTTCTGCAAGGTTTTTTTCAGTTTGAATGTTTAGCACCGCCCTCCAACTGGCTCACAGGCTTCTCATTTCCCCTTTGTTCTCCTCCCACGAAACAATCAAGTTGTATTTGCGATCTGATACGTATGCAAACCTTAGCATTAGCGCAACTTCTTGTAAGTTCATCCACTGATGAAATGGTACAAATGTACTGCTAACGAAATATATAACTGAAAGATTACCGCTAGTTTCGCGTCCAAATGTAGTCCGAGGCGGCCCCGCTCCCGCAGGTCTCTCCCGAGGATACAATGTCAGCTAGCTATGTTCACCCGGGTTTGATTTCTTCTTTGATCATTTTTTCACTTTAGTTCCCTTTCACTGTTGCGTCATTTGGGCTGTTTTGCTGTGTCTGCAGTTACAGCCAGAGGAGTTAGCCTCTTTCTGCCTCCATGCTGCTCTTGTTTACCTGCGCTGTAGACGCTAGATGAGGCAGCCTGTTCGTAACAGCACCGCTCCTCGTTCTGTGATTGGAGGAGAGAGGGCGTCACGCACTTTCTACTTTCTACTTTGTACTGCCTGAATTCATACACAGCTGAATCAATGAGCTCAAGTTTTCAATTAAATTATGAATTTTAATACAACTTGTATGTAGTAATATGCATTTTTATGAACTGTAGATGGAGGAGGCCAGGTCCAGAGGTCCCGTCATCGTACCATGGAACAGAGAATGGGACAACGGGTGAATAGCAATGAACAGACTACAGTCAAAATCCTAATAATGCTAAACAGATAAAATAAATTGGGTATAGCTTCTTTAAGGTTTTGGAAAATCCAATAACTCAGGTGCTCGCACTCACGAGAAACAGGAAGAGGGTGAAGGGGGTAAACGCATCCCATTGGCTCGTTGGGGGTGAATGAATCCCATTGGTTTATTTTTATTGGTCCGCTCCAAAATATTTTGTGTTAAGTTTTGGAGACTATAGATAGTTTTCCACTGACTTCACCCACTACCCACAATTCCGCAGTTCACCATTTTGGGAGTCTAGCTGCCGCCAGTTGTAGGTAACCAATTCGGGCCAAATCACTTTTTTGCGCTAAAACATGCCGACTGCCTGCGTCGTTTGGGGATGCAGTAACCGCGTAGAGTAGATTGTGGGGACATTCCAAAAGCTCTTACGAGAGTGACTCGGGACGGAGAAAAGACTCTTTAGTTGGCAAGGATCAACCAGAGGGATTCAACCCTAACCCCCTGGAAAACGGCACTATACAGTGTAAGGTCTGTTCTGACCATTTCATAACAGTTAAGAGCTAGCTAAATCCGTACATGTATGGTTTATTTTCAGAGCTGCAATTTGACTGTGATACTGAGTCTATATAGGCGCCTCGAGCATCCCATCTAAATGAATGAGAGGGGGAGGAGGAGGAGGGGGGGAAAGGGTAGTGATTTGCGGCCTGTGATATCAACTGCTTCGTTAAAAATTAAATACTGATTGAAAGAAATATTGTATCGTATACATCATGACGTTTTCTAAATTGTAAAACTGTTAAGTGAAAGTAAGCCATTTCTGGGAAGTCCACTGGTCTCGCCGCCTTTCATATGGATCCAAATCTCCTGATTATCTTGCCTCACAGATTACTCCAGTATATCAATATACTTAACGTGGTCAGTGGCTTTAGATGACATGGGGACAGATGATCTGTGACATATTATTAGTGACAAATGATACGTGCAATATAAGCTTGACTCCCAACATGTCATTCGCGCAAAGCATCATGGGTAATAAGCACGTGATGGAAAACTATCTGGTATCTGGTCAATAGTCTGAATTCCATTACTATTTGAACGCATCTTAACTTACCATGATTTAAGGTTTAAGGACGTTTTCCCACAATAAAAAAAAACAAAAAAATGCGTCTGGAAAAAAGTCACTGACTGCATCTTTAATGAAACCTACAATTACTTTTTCACAATCTGTGAGAATTTATCATTTATTTAAATTTTTTATTGCAGGCAGACGATTCGGCAGGTCAGGATGGCCGAGCGGTCTAAGGCGCTGCGTTCAGGTCGCAGTCTCCCCTGGAGGCGTGGGTTCGAATCCCACTTCTGACAAGTATTTTTGTCTTGGAACGAATTTAAACGGAGTATATTTACAAGGCCATAAAGCCCATGAGATGTTGTTGTAATTGTTAAGAAATTGTAAACAGTTAAGCTACATGTGATCAGCTGAGAATGTTGAAACACTAATCAAGGTCTTTCTGCGGGAACTTTGTGAATTTACCACAAACATCTAAGATCCTGCTTATCTTCGCTGCATCATTAAATGCTTGCTTGCTGGTTCTGTGACTTTGTGGTTCGACAACATCACAGCCAAAGAAAGGAGAGCACTAAACAAGGTGCTCCGCTCTGCAAAGCTGTCTGTTCTGGAGGCTCTTTATGAATCCAGACTCTTAAACCAAGCTCTTATGAAAATCATTGACTCCTCTGGCCACCCTGGAAAAGCCATGTTTGCTTTGCTAACCGCTTCTTTCCACAAGCTTTAAACAGAGCACTCTAATGATCTTACACGTGTACACTGTGTTTATTGATCGATTTCACACTGTCAATTGTTTCTTACAGTGTTTTTTTCAAAGTTTGTTTTATTTATGTAATTGTTTTGTGCACACTGGGGACTTTTGCAAATGTATTCCAATGTGGTTTTACTGCAAATGGCAAATAAAATTAATCTAAATCTGAATCTGATTTTCTGTGCATCCTGTAACCTCATAAGATAAGTAGATTTAAATGTTCATGCCTAACAATTATACACAATTATGCATAATTATACAAATGTTCATGCCTAACAATTATACACTGAAATGTAATATGTGTATTTATGTTATCTAGAAATTGTTGTCTTTCCGTTGCAGCTTAGAGTAAGTTAAACATAGTATTATGACGAGATGTGAGACCCCACGGTTGGGAAATTTCTTATAATAAAACAGTACATTGTGAATCACTACAGGTGAATTTCATGGAGAGACATGTGGAATCTCTAATTTACACTGGATCATTCTGTCTGTTTGTCTAGGATCCCCCTTTCCACCATCTGCTGCACTGGGTGACCAGGGAGAGCACAGGACCTGATGACTTTTCCAGCTTCTTTTGGATGTTTTATCTGTTACGCTCTATAAAGTTACAAAGCTATAAGAACAGAGGTAAATATTAGAAAGATTATAGCAAAACATCTACTTGAAGGAGGTTTTGTACTTTTTATGGTTGGGTTATTTAAATAGATATGTAAGATGAATGGAATAACAGGCCCATTTCATTACAGTAATTGGTACTTTTTTTCTAACCTATGCCTCTAGAGTGCTAGAAAAAAAAAAGGATTGCTTTTTGGGGACTAGAACTGAAGAAGCTCTTGGAACCAGAATGAGGTTTGTAGCTGGGAGGGAGGTGCAGGGGGCCTGGTCTCTGTGCAGGACTGAGAGGCACAACTGAAGACTGGACCAGAGAGCGAGGACTCACACCAATCGACAACATGGAGAAAGGAGACGACATTATCAACCCCAGGTACAACACATGCATTTAATGTCACTTTGACTGTCAAAAGAAACTACTGAACTACCTGTTCTCCAAATTACAGCCAAGCGATTTTCTTCATGAAGCAAAGTTACAGTTTATATCTGTGGAGAGGAAAGCAGACTATTTGTATGTTCATCTTTGAGGTTTTGAGCAGTGAATACACTAAATCAATCATGTGTTTATATCGCATTGAGATACTTTTGGAGAAAAGAAATAGAAACAATGGCAACAACCAGGTAGCGGACCGTTTGAACCGTTTTTAACCAATTTGGCTCAATTATATCATTATAGATGAGACAAGGATAATTTACCATTTTCGACATTAGGGCATTCACATTAGGATATTGAGATCAATGGAGAGTGGTCTCTTGCTAGATTTATTTGAAGCAATAAAAGCATATACCGTTACCAGATAGATTTAATGCCATGGTCTGACTAGTGTTCAACAATTACCCCAGTCACTATTCATGGGACCAAATACATCAAGTTTCTACAAGTATAACTTTATAATCACCTTTTAATCTATAAAGTTGCTTGTTTTAGTTTCTCACATTTTAACTTTACTTGAGTTGTGTGCAGTGGGGTCTTGTTTCACAGCCGTTTTATTTTTAGATTCACAGCTGACCTCAGACCAACAGCTGCTTAACATGCAGTACATCCATTACTACTATAGTACTACTACTACTACTGCTATTACTATCAGTACTTCTACAACTAGTACAACTACTGCGGCTGTTGCTACTGCTACTGCTACTACTACTACTACCACAACTAATGCTGCTACTACTATGACTACTGCTACAACTAGTACACCTACTACTACAGCTCACTACTGCTACTTCTACGCCTACAACGAGTACAACTACTGCTACTGCTGCTACTATTACTACTACTGCTTACTACTGCTTTGACTATTTCTTTAACTACTACAACTACAACTGTTGCTGCCGCGCACATTGCCATATGTGTGTCAAGCAAAAATGTTTGGCCTTCTGCGTTCTCCGCATGCCGACCCACTGCCCTTGCTGGGCCGCAAAAACACACCTGCTGCTCAGACAAACGTGCCGGCCGAAATGCACATGCAAATATTTGGCGTACGTCACATTTGACTTTGCATGGAAAACCGCTGCAACACATGGTCCGGTGTGAACACCCCATAACACTGCTCATAACCTTCAGCGTAACATCCTCAGAGTCAAATATGGGGGTGGCAGCATCATGTTATGGGGCAGGGACAGTGAAGAGCACCAGAGTTGGTGGAAAGGTGTATTTTTTAATAATATGTGTGAGAACTTTCAGTAAACAATAAAAATACAATTTATTGTTTATGGTTGAAAACAAAAAGAAATGTGCTAAACTTCAAGGTAAGTAAGTAATAAGTAATCATTATTTATATAGCGGGGCTGGTGCTGAGTGTACTGAGTGCAGCTCTGACTGCCACCCCCCCCGACCCAAAAATGGATTAAGGGGAAGAAAATGGATGGATGGATGGATGGATATTTATATAGCACCTTTCACAGACCAGAGCTAGAAAGCGCTTTGCAAATGTGGGCATTTGTCTCTCACTCCAGACAGAGATGGGAGCAAGGTTGCCATACAGGAGGCGTATGCCTGACCTATTACACATGTTTACGCAGACACGGGGGGAACATGAAAAATCCACTCAGAAAGGTACTGCTCTAACCGGATTCGAACCACGGACCTTCTTACTGAGGTGTATTGGTACTGTTGAGAAGCGAACTATCAACAATGATAAAGATGGCATCGATAAAGTGCTAGTGACCGGCTGATTTTGTATTCATTTTTTATCATGAATTATGTTTAAAATCATTGTTTTGAAAAATACTCTATAACGTTATCCTGGTTCCTTTAAAATTAGGTATAACATGCCATGGTGGCATATCGGTTGGATAGGAAGAAGTTGGAGGGCTAATATCTGACATTTTAAAAACTTTATACGTTCATGTAAATAATGGTCCAGAATACTACCACTGAATATATTAATATTCTCTGGATGCAGGATTGAAGAGATTACATTTTATTTGGTTGTCTTTCTCCAGTTTTGCGGCTGCGCTGATGAAGATGGACCCTGAGGATGGAGCTCAGATCATGGACTACATCAGAACTCAGGCCCTGCTCTCCAGAGAGAAAGCCTGTGAGAAAACAAATCATTCAATTGAATATAAAGGCTTCAGAATGTTTCAAATTAAGGCAAAAAAGGCAATATAATAGATGTGCACTTAACGCGGTTACCTGAATTTTAAAAGTAACTAGTCTCTCTCAGTTTTCACATCCATGTATGTTTCAACTCTGTCACATCTTTAAATCAGCCTTTCCATACAGAAAATTATAAAGAATGGAAACTAACTAAACCAACTAACCTCAAAGTTAGGATTGTATTGTCTTGCACTTTACAAATGCAAATAGGACATGTATTTCCTGTATTCTGTATAATCCTGTGTCTTTGGCCGTCAGTGCTGCAGTCCTCGGTGCGAGAACAGAAGAAACTGTTGGTGGAAAATGGCAAACTGAAAAAGGACATTGAGGATCTGAGAGGGCAACTCCAGGACAAGCAAAGGAGGCGGATAGGTCAGAAATGAACAAAGCTTCATAATAATAGTAATATAATAATAATACCACTACTATACCCCTTTTCACCAAGCTGGTGTCAGTGTCTTTGTGCAAAGAGAATAGTAATATTAGTGATTAGCTCTGAGGTTGCAAATGTTTAAATTGATGTAATATCTGTACGGTACATATCAGGAGCATACTAACTACTGTCGTCAAAAGTAATTTGACTGACGTGTTCAGAATTTGATACAGAAATAAGGCCAAGAATGCAAGAGTTAAAAATAGAACATTTAATTCTCTTTACAATTAAATATCGATACAAAACCCTTGGAGCCATTAATTCTCTAAAACTAACCCTATGCTGAGCCATCCTAAAAACTTTCCCTCCAGGCCTGAAAATGTGCAGAGAACATGCAGGTGCTCTGCCATGTTCTCTGTCTAACTGTCCCTGCTCTGACTGACTCCAAGCCTCCAGCCTAAGCATAAAAAGAGCAGATGTCCAGGAAGAAGGGGGCGTGTAGTATCAGGCAGCTTCCGGTCCAGGGTCCGGCCTTTCCTCCGTCTGCCAGACCCAAACAGAAATCATTCATGCACTACCCCTCCCTAATTCTATAGAAATATTACTTCCTTGAGATAAGACAGGAGGCTTTTCAAGGTCCACCTCCTTCTTCAAACAACGAAAGGATTAGCAGAATCCCCCCAGATTAACTATCATTAACTCATATTTCTGCACTTTTGGACTACCAAGGAACAAGGGGAGACCAGGTCTTTTTGCTTGGGAAAGAGACAGAGTTCAATTCCGGGTCAATCAAATTCACATCTGCCTTTAGTCTATATTTAATACAACACTACTATTAGGAGCACTCTCACTATGTGATAGTGAGAGTGAGCAAAGTAAGTGTGGACACACGAGGTCTTATAATGCACATTCTAACATTATTTCAAATTATTGCACAGTTGCATGACATTCGAGGTCAGCTACAGCCTGACAGTCTGTCACTGAAACTGCTCTCCAGAGCTTCGCCATCCGCTGCTCATGGTCCAGTCATTGCACATGGAAGATGAATAGCGATTTTTTCATACTTTTATACTAGTGTAAGTAAGTAATCTTTATTTTTACAGCGCATTTTTCACCCAAAACGCTTTAGAATGTTCAGATTTCAGATATTGTTTAATTCACTCCATACATAGTGATGACAGAATTGAGACGCCGAACACACTGGCGCATCAAAGCCCCAAACAACACCATCCATTCACTCACTCATTACATTCATACCTATTGTGCATGTTTTTATTGGTAGGGAAAACCGGAGCACTCGGTAGTGCTGTTAGTTAAACGCAGTAATAGCGGCATATATTTTTTTATTGCACAATTAACGCAAGTACAGATAGATTCTTTATTGATCCTTTATGAATTGGGAGAAATTCAGGTGTCCAGTCGTAGTAAAAATAAAAAGTAAAAAGTATAATGACTGAAAGCAGTGTCCGTACGCGGCAAGAATATGTGTGGGTCATATTTTGGGCTGAGACTAGCTAAAAATATGCAATTAAATGTTAATAATCACAAGTAAACTATGACATTAATGCGATTCATTGCGATTAAATATTTTAATCGTTTGACAGCAACAGGAAAAACCTATTATGTGTTTTTTTTATTTGCAGCAAAAACCCTGCTCGCTCCGGTCACACCTTTGCAGACAAGCCCCGCCTCCTCTGCAGATTCACCTGCTCCTTCACTTGTTGATCAACCTGCTGTAGAGCGACGTGATGGTCAGCGAAGGAAGAGAGGAGACAGGAGATGTAAGCAAATACACAATATTAGGACAATTTCCCCCTCCATTGTGTTTTTTGTCAGAATAAATATTTTAAAGGTAAAACACATATTTAGGTCTGTGCTTGTTGCTGCAGCCCGATCGGGGGCAGGAAGTGACCTCCTACTGGGGATGGAGCCTCGTCTTGACGTGTCGCGTCTGGACCTACGAGTGGGGCGTGTCCTCAGCACCCGAAGCCACGCCCAGTCGCTCAGCATACAGGAAGTGGACGTAGGAGAGCCCGCCCCCAGAACTGTGGTCAGCAAACTGGGAGCAAACATACAACTGGACCAGGTAAGAACAGGTCCCTTGTCAGGTTAAGGTAAATAAATACTTTATTGAAATACTTATTTTGTCAACAAATCTCTAAACAAAGAAGACGACAAAGAATAAAGGTGGAAGTGCTAGTTTTATCATAAAAGCAAAAAGTTGAACAGACAATTGTATGTTTACAATTAAATTATTATATGTATTTATTTGGAGCCCCATAGCAGGACAACTGTTCTTTTCACTGATAGAGGGCAATATGATGTGCACAACAAGGCAATGCCTCTACTCATCCAAGAAACAGTAAGATTTATCTGGTCAGTCCATGAGAAATGATTGTCTAACTTTACTTCCAAGAAGTTCGTTTTGGTCACCTGCTCAATCAAGGTTGTACCAGTACAAGGTTGTACAAGGCTGCCGTGGCATGTGTTTTGTACCAAAAACAATACGTTTAGTTATTCCAATTTTTAAGGCTAATTTGTTTAACCTAACAAACTCATCAAGATAAGACAAGATAAACTTTATTGATCTCACAATGGAGAAATTTACAACCAGTTATGTCAAGTTAACATTGGAGGTTCATGCTCAGTTCTGCAATTGAAGCAGATGCACAAACTAAAGAAGCATCGTCAGTGTACAGAACAAGGTCTGCGTTTCCCACATAATAAGCCAAGTCATGTACAAATACAGAGAATGACAAAAAGTGACCCCAAGCAACCTCCTTGTATACCGCATAATATAGGTTAAGTCTCAGAATTAGGGCTGTCAAAATGATCGCGTTAATTCACGTTAATTACGTTTTCATTAACGCGTTAAAAAATAATTAACGCATTAACTGCCATTGACGTGTTAACACGTCAATTGCGTTTCCCGCTATTTCCACGTTCCCAGATGTATCAAATATGTAAGGCTTGAGGCAATATTTTATCGAGCCAGCAGATGGCATCATTGCTCTATGAATGGTTTTAAAACAGCTAGAAGCTAGATAAGATAATAAAACTTACCTCTACTCGACTGGGGATTACAGGGGAACGAAACAAGCTAGAAACTAAATTATTTTTGCTGATGAAAGTAGACAGTCCATTCTTTCAGAATTTAGATAGTCCATCCATCCATCCATTTTCTTCCGCTTTATCCGTTGCCGGGTCGCGGGGGCAGCAGTCTAAGCAGAGACGCCCAGACTTCCCTATCCACACACACTTCCTCCAGCTCGTCCGGGGGGACCCCAAGGCGTTCCCAGGCCAGCTGAGAGACATAGTCCCTCCAGCGTGTCCTAGGTCTTCCGCGGGGCCTCCTCCCGGTGGGACGTGCCCGGAACACCTCCCCAGGGAGGCGTCCAGGAGGCATCCGGAACAGATGCCCGAGCCACCTCAACTGGTTCCTCTCGACGTGGAGAAGCAGCGGCTCTACTCCGAGCTCCTCCCGTGTGACTGAGCTCCTCACCCTATCTCTAAGGGAGCGCCCAGCCACTCTGCGGAGGAAGCTCATTTCGACCGCTTGTATCCGCGATCTCGTTCTTTCGGTCATTACCCAAAGCTCATGACCATAGGTGAGGGAGGGAACGAAGATTGACCGGTAAATCGAGAGCTTTGCCTTTCGGCTCAGCTCCTTCTTTACCACAACAGTCCGATACAGCGACCGCATCACTGCGCACGCTGCACCGATCCGCCTGTCAATCTCACGCTCCATTCTTCCCTCACTCGTGAACAAGACCCCGAGATACTTGAACTCCTCCACTTGAGGAAGGACCTCTCCACCCACCTGAAGAGGGCAGGGCACCTTTTTCCGGTCGAGCACCATGGCCTCAGATTTGGAGGTGCTGATTCTCATCCCAGCCGCTTCACACTCGGCTGCAAACCGTCCCAGTGCATGCTGCAGGTCCTGGTTCGTTGGAGCCAACAGGACAACATCGTCCGCAAACAGCAGAGATGAAATCCTGTGGTCCCCGAACCGGACCCCCTCCGACCCCTGGCTGCGCCTAGATATTCTGTCCATAAATACAGTGAACAGAACCGGTGACAAAGGGCAGCCCTGTCGGAGGCCAACATTCACCGGGAACAGGTCTGACTTACTGCCGGCAATGCGAACACAGCTCTGGCTCCGGTCATACAGGGACCGGATGGCCCAAGAGCCAGCTGTTGTGTGTGCGGACTGGGTCGTCGAGGTCTCCGCCTTCGACTGCTGCCCAGTCCTCTCTGCACCGTTTCGCCACCACGGACCCCTCTGCGGGTGGTGGGCCCACAGGAGGGACTGCCCACGTCGTCCATTCGGGCTGAGCCCGGCCGGGCCCCGTGGGCTAAGGCCCGGCCACCAGGCGCTCGCCTACGAGCCCCGACCCCAGGCCTGGCTCCAGGGTGGGGCCCCGGCTGCGCCATGCCGGGCGACGTCACTGATTTCTTTTGAGTGCTGTCCATGGTGTCTTCTGGACTGCTCTTTGTCTGACTCGTCACCCGAGACCTGTCTGCCATGGGAGGCCCTACCAGGGGCATGAAGCCTCAGACAGCATAGCTCCCAGGATCATCCGAGTACTCAAACTCCCCCACCACGTTAAGGTGGCAGTCCAGGGGGGAGCATTTAGATAGTCATAGTACACAATATTCTGTGGGTCTTAAAATTCAAATTAAATTAAAATTCAGTAAAAATCATCAGAAACGGCTGGCAATATGCGAGTTCTGAAATAGGCTGGCAGTCAATCGCATGTCCGAATGACCCGCCCATTTATAAAAATATCAATCAGAATGCCGTGGACACGTGCGTGTGTGTGATGGTGACAGCGGTAACGTGGTCATATAATACACGCATACATATATATACGCACAGGGGCCATTCTCTGATGTTGTGTGACACACAGAGGAGAGGAGGAGACACGCTGAAATGCAACCAAACTCGCAAAATTAAAGCTGGGGTATCTACATTTTCCCTTTCATTAACAGCTCTTGTTGATTGTACACAAAAGTAGAAGGTTGTGAGCAAGTCAAACAAATTTAAGTACATTTGGTATCAATAACAATGTGTCATTACATTTGAAAATGTCATTTAACTTCAATTGGAGTGGATTTGAAATAGAATGTTAAAAATGCGATTAATCGTGAGTTAACTCACCATTACTATGCGATTAATCAACAACAACAAAATTAATCGTTTGACAGCCCTACTCAGAATACTTACTCTTAAAAAATACTTGCTGACTTCAGCCTTTGAGGTAACTACTGATCAGTGGAAGAGACAGACGTGAAAATCCATTACATTTTAACTTTGACAGAAGAATGACATGATCAATGACATCAAATGCACCTGTAAAGTCTAGAAGTACAGCGCCAACAATTACCTTAGCCAGGACCCCAGATTGCCCCCTCCTTACACACTGTGCGACATGGGTTGGCATGCCAGAAAGAATTCAGATTTAACCCACTTTTGGACACCGAATATAGCAAACAGATTTCTGTTTCTCTGAGTCCCCCTAGTTCAAGTGAAGAAGGTTATAAAACAACACACAAGTCACATAAGGGACTGTGGATAATTACAGCATTTAGAAACTTCTGCCGGTTCCTTTTTCAGACCTTTTTTCGAATCTTGACGCTAAGCGCTTGAAATTGTCAGGATTGTTTGAAATAGATAAAATAAAATGAAATTAACAAGCTGTGGAGTTGTGTTTGGGTGAGTGAAGCTCTCATCACACTGTTGCACATGCTGCTCTTTCCTTAAAGCTGCATTAACTGGCTTTATTTTTGTATTCATTACGAAAATGCTATCCTGAAGCTTCCGTGTCTTCGTCACCGGTTACTGATTACACAGCGAAATAGCCATCCAAAAGAAAGTCATGCTATCCACGCTCAAATGTACGATACATGGATATATCCATGAGACGCTAGCTCTGTAAACAACAGTGGGTGTGCGGTAGTGGGGGCGATAGCTTCGTGGGTGCGGGGAGGGGAGGAGAAAGAGCGAGGCCAGCGAGTCCGCTGCTTTGAAATCCCAGTCAGTTAGTGCAGCTTTAATAAAGTTGTCCTTTAAAGATATGTTGGGAAGCGTCTATTGCTCCATGTGCTCCAACTTATTATTAGCCATAGTCATTACAATATGTTTTTGTAAGTAAGATACAGCGCAAAGCTGACACAGGTCCAAACAACGGAGCAACCTTTTTCCACAGTTGTTTAGCACAGGTCTGGCGTATGAAAATGCATTTTAAAACCTTCTTCTGTTTCTGTCTTGCAGCTTCCTGGGGCCATGGTCGTGTTGATATGTAACGTCAAAGCCTGCAAACTGAGGGGCGTGGTTTCCAAGGCACGTCTTGTCTGCTGCGGCCAATCAAAAGACTGCATTGAGCTGCTGACTCCGCCCCCTGGATCCACGCCCGGAGACAGAATCACCTTCCTTAACTTCCCAGGTAGAGATACAGCCATTCAAACATCATACCAAAATGAAAAAAATAAACCGATTTATCCATATATTTTTTGAAAGCCTCATGTGGCTTTACTAATACGAGCTATTATGTAAATAAATCCTATTCTATCTATTGAGCTTTAATTTTATAACTTTAAGTATCATAAGTATTGCCCTTAAAGAAGTTTTGACAATTTCCATGGTTAAATTACATCTTATACAATCACATGATTGCAGCCAGTATTTTTCGAAACTACCCCTCCCTCTGGCAGTAGCATTCTGAGTTACAGGCAGACAGCATTAGCCTTGTGACTTTCACCCATGGATCTATAATAATTTCTGGATAGGGTATTACCACCTATGGGCACAGAGGGCGCCCGTGGTACTTGTAACCTGTCCCTTTAAACATTAACCCAAGCTAATACATGTTTTTTGTTTCTATATTATTGGTATTTGATATAACTTGTTTATCAATATATACCTCTTAAGAAAAGAATACCTTCCCTAAAAATACACAAGAACCTGAATATCTAAATTTTTTGTTGTCTTATTTTATTCTCACCCTTTCTGATAAAGCCTCAGTATCTTGGCCGCAGTCAGCGCCAAGCCTTTTATAGCGTTACATACTGCAGACTAAATTCACAAGGGCTACCCAGAAAAAAGTCTCATAGAACTCAATGTAAATTAAAACAGCTTGACCCCAGCTGACATAGAACCTACAGCTTTCATAAAGTTCGGATTTTGTGGGGATTTTAGTGTCCCTTGTCATCCTGAACTTTTTTCTTCTTAAATCCTTTGGTTTTCTCTTTAAATCCACACTTTACTGCCACAAACTCTGCTGTTTTCCTTCTTGCTCTGGCTCTGCTCTAGTTCTTTTCTGATCAGCAGCTCTGATTGGTTAAAGCACGGCCGAGCCCCTCTGTGCATGTGCATGAGAACCACACACACGTATTTGGCGCAGCGCATCATGGGAGCTCGTCCACTGCGCAGAACCGGGAGGACCAGACGATGCCCAAATATAGGTTCCGCTATTCTTTCGATCCTCCTGCATGTCCCATGCGCTACTGAGCACAAGCCATTCATTTGAACAGGGCGCCATCTTGGCTCACCGGGGCATGCTTTGACCATTTTTCTACTGAAAATATTACTTCACATTCTTAGACATGATGTTTTATTAAAGAATGATAAATTTAAAAGAATCATTATATTTATTAGGGGCCAAAATAATGTGTAATATATATACTTTCACCTTACCTGGGAAAAGAGATGGACTGTTTGGCTTCATGTTTATGTGGACAAACTAGGTATTTGTTGAAACGGGGATCACTTTTGGACTGTGGGGAGAATCGGATAACGATTGGATAACATTTTCTTTTTATCACACAACTGGACACTACAAACTGAGGGCATGCACAGAAAACCACAATGTGTTTTGGAGTGGATTCAGCTCATCTTTGTTAGAGGTAAGCGGTCATGCCACCATTTAGCAGACCAGCACCGACCAGGACAGATGCAAACTGCACTTAATAAAGACTGCAGAATCAAAAAAAATAATTTTTAATTGTGAGTAACAAGAGGTCACGAACTTTCAATTTGTTTTGCTCAATAATATATGAATACACAGAGCACTTTATTCAATAAAGGCAAGGTAAGGCATATATATTTGTAAAGCAAAATACCTATGCAGGACTTCACAGAAACAAAAGAGAAAGCATTGAAATCATACATAGGCATCATAAATAGTCACAATGCATACATTTAAAAGAATGAGTTTGTAAAGCTGTTTTTTTTTTTATTTTTTTATTAAGCTATTAACAAAAATATTCTTAGACCACACATTTAGGCACTCGAGATTTTGTCCATATTTGGAGCAAATGGTCTTGGAGCAAATTGTCTTGGAGCAAATTGTCTTGGCCCAGTAGGTCTGGGCAACAACATGGCTTTTGACACATCACTCCTAAGAATATGGGATCAGGTCCAAGAAGACCTATTTTACCTATCTATATGTCTATATTTCCAACTGTGTGCTCAATATTCATTGGGTGTTTGTTTTTTTCTTTCAGGGGAAGCAGACAAAGAGCTGCCAACGAAGGACCACGTATTTGAGCGTCTTCAGCCGGATCTGTGTGTGGACTCAAAGGGAGTGGCTCATTACAAAGGCTGTGGCTTCGAGGTGAAGGGGAAAGGCCTCTGCAGAGCTCCCACTGTCATCAACTGCTCCATCAGATAGCATCCTGCTGCATGAGATTCACCAGCAACAAAATAACTAATCCCGTTAAACATGGAGCGAAAGAGTGTTGAGAATTAAAGATCTCTCACATTGCCTCATTATTACATATTGCCTCATTATTATCCCTAAGATAATGTATGCTTTGGTGGTGGTGGTTAGATGAGTCATTTTTATCAAACAACTGTGTAACTCAAATTTTTGAGCTGTAATTGTTAATAGAGATCAGAATCTAAACATGAATAGCAAAACCACTTATCGAGTGCTGACAAACCACAGATTAATTTAAGGGGGCATCTGTGAACACTTATTAACATTGACATGTGCTCCCTATGTGTTTGTATTTCCCGAGTTGCTTACTATTTGATTCTCTGATCTAATGTAAAGTCCTTTGAGATTACTGCTGTTGTGATTTAGAACTATATGAACAAACGTGAGGGGTGATAGTAGCTCAGTTGGTAGAGTGTTGGCCTTTGGGCCTGAAGGTTGTGGGTTCGAGCCTGCCACGAGACCTACTTCATGACTGCACTGATGACTGCAATCTAAGTGTCTCAGGCAAAACACTTACTAAACCCTACTTTGCCTAAAGCCCCCATTGAAAGATCTCAGCTCCTGTTGACTCACCATCTGCAGGAGGATCAGTGAGGGGCTGGTGCTCTGTGTACTGGGTGCAGCTCTGACTGCCACCCCCCTGACCCATGAATGGAGTGAGGGGAAGAAATTGGATGGACAAACAAACATTGAAATTAATTGAGGAGTTTACTTTACAATATAGTTGGAGCAAAACTTTGTCTACTACCCTATTGGACTTCATTGAGCTAGGGGGATAGAAATCTATATACAGTATATACTTGTTCTTAGTAATCAGAAACCAAATCTTTATTAATGGCGTCAAAAAAGATGGAATTTGCATGCAGTACAGCTTTTGGACATACAAAATAAATAACATTCCATTTAGTATGTGGGGTAATTAGTCAAAAGTTGTATTGGGTGCCCTTTTGGAAGAGGGAATGTAGCTGTTGGTTAGTTATTCAGAATATCACATTTTATTTGATTCATGATGCATATGTGATTAATGGTCAAGTAATGATCATGTGTTCTCTTCACATTGTGTCAAATTTACATAGCGCTTTTCTACTTTTTTAAGGCACTCAAAGCGTTTCACATCAAGTACGCAATCCCAATTGAAACACACATTCATGCACCAGGGTACGCAGACACCGGAGGCGAGGCGGGTTATGGGTCTTGCACAAGGACACACGGAAGTAATCTCCAATGGTAACTGTTTTCACACCTGCAACCTCCTAAAATACAGTCTACTGGAAGGGAGGGGTTACCCATTATATATGGCGGGGAAATCTCAATGATGGGCTGTGGTTTTCTGGGTGAATGTGTGGCCTAATGTCCAAACATACAGTTTTTGAGAATGTGCGTATGCTTTGAAAGAACTGTCAGAGGAGGTCATATCTTACATACAACACTTCGTCCATCTGCATCTTGTTTACTTGATTTATATATGTGCTTAACTGTGTTCACGTTCTTCAAAGTGCTTAAACCAGCAGACTCTTTGTCTCATTATAGTAGTTACACAATTGGGTAAACGGGACTGCTAGGTCTCAGTGGTCATTTCGGGTCCAAGCACAGAGAGAGACTGATGGTGATTTCTCGCTGACAGACAGAGGATTTTCTCTCTTATCGGTTCTCCAATGAGCGACGGCCAATCAGTGCTGCTGTCCACAAACAAGACCCCGCCCACCAATCGATCAGACAGAGCTCCCAGCCAATCGACAGCCTTCGTGAGAAAGAGGGACGGCTGCGTCGTTTTGAGTCGGTCGCAGTGAGTCACGATGAGTAGTGAGTGTTTAAACCAGTGTGGACCAAAGAGACTCTGAAGAGAGACAAAAGTGCGTTTTAGGTGTCTCCTGAAAGTTGAGTAACGTAAACAACGCTAACATGGAAATTGAAAACACAAGTACAAAAGCATTTTTGAAAACCGGATCTGTCTCAAGATGCAAACCTGTTAGTTAGTAGACGGTTTACTTTGTCATTTCATATCTTAGAATTTGAAAAACTATATTCAGTAGAAAATATATGGTGGAAGAAGTATGTTCTGTGGATGGTATGGTTGGATCTAAAAACTACTCCAGATCTGTTTTTGAATGTTTAAAAGCTCAAAAAAGTCAAATTTGCTTAACACGTGGAAATAACACCAAATTAAACATTATGCATTGTAAATGTACTGACAGCAATCATTGTTTTGCTTCTACCTTTGCCTCTGTGTCCAGCTGTGTCCCCTCGCCCATCATATCCGCCCTCACCACAAGTGCAATCACGTGCACGCCCTCCGGACACAGTGCATGCATTTCCTGTGGGTGGGGCTTAACCGGAGAGGTGTCAATCACCCTCAGACACAGGTGTGACTCCGCACCGTTTCGTCTGAAGTATCGCGGGAAAGTCCGACAGACGTGCTGAAGATGAGAAGTGACAGAGACTCCCGTGGTAGAAGAGCCTGTGTGGAAAACGGAGCCTCCTGGGAAAGATCACAAGAGATGAAAGACATTGATGGCTCAATATTATATATTTTGTACGTTTGATATCTTAATATAGGTTATGGACATGTGACATCACAATATTCCATAGAGCCTATAGTTTAACATTGTATTAGAAGGCAGCTGAATTATTATTATTATTTTTTACTCAAAACTAGTTTTAGATTACAGTTAATGCTCTGTAATTACTGGGTAATCAACACCAAACACTGTCACAAAGTCTTCTTCTTGGTCAGTATATATGAACTACAGTCTTATTTTTTTCTCATAGAGGTGTCAGTTCTCTTAGGGTGTCATTCCCACCCAGACAGGTGGAAACTAACATTTTGCTAAAAACTGACATATCTTATTATTAAAAGACAAATTGTTTATTGTGCATTGTGCCCGACCAAATAAATACATACAATTCCATCCAAAAGCCCCAGGCTTTACACAGCCTGCAGTGGAAGTTTGCAATTACCAAAATTTTCGTAGATTGATTTACAAAGCTGCTGAATCAAAAATTCAGAAATGAAAATTGATGTATTGTGCCACTCACATAGTCCTCGTGAGTTTCTTCAATGACGAGTGTGGGCCCAGTGTGGGCCACTCGTCTTCTTTACAGGCTCGGCACGGTGTATTACTATACTACAATAAATATACTATGATTATACCATAAATACACAGTATGTATTGCTCTAAAACCAACGTGTGTATGCAAATGACAATGGAAAACAACTCAAATCATGGTCAAAAGTGGTGGCCTTTAAAAGGATACTACACTGACCAATCAGAGCATTCCCCACAGAGCTTTGCCCACTCTGCCTTTCACCGAGCAACAGCACGTTTAGCGCCAGTGACTGGATGCTGACATTGTTGTTTTCTTCAGAAATTTCTTTGGAACGGCTTTGGACAGACATCTGGAAGACTCCAGCTCTAAGACAAAGAGATTTTGATAAATATAAGTTTAATAATAGGATTGTTGTACTTGATGAAGCCACAGATGCCGTAAAGATGGCGCCGTGGCAAGAGCTCTGGTGTGTGTCGTCTTCTCTGTCTGGTGCACACTGGGGTAGTCTTGCACAGTTTTTCCAATGTGGTTTTACTGCAAATGGCAAATAAATGAATCTGAATCTGAATCTGAGTTTGTGAAGATTTTATATTACAGGAAGTAGAGCAGTGTTCTAGAACTAATGACATCACAAGGACAGTTCATTATAGGGAGAATTCTTTTTTTAAATTAAATATTCACTCCACTACATTAATGTACATTCTTTATTTAGGTAGTCTAAATCTATATTATCTGTACACAGGAGTTCTGGCCCAGTTCTGATGACCTCATCATTTACAACTAAACTGGAATCAAATCTTTACCATATTCATACTAGACTAAATCTTGACTTTGTTTTGTGAATAAGTCAAGTTTTCACTGTCAGATTCTATGTTACACATGGAAAATTTAGAATCAGTAGAATGAGCAACACCCCCATCCAGTGGTTGATTTGGGATTATACATTCGGATAGATGTATACAGTATTTAACATGGAGAGGCCTATTTGTAAATTACTGTAATTTAGCTCTATTCATAATGTCACAGTCTGGGGATGGGTCATAGGGAAGAAAGAAGGGGGTGTTGGTGCTAGAAGTGACTGATTTTAGCATGAATTTTCATTGTGCATTTATCAATTCATTGAAAAATACTTTTAAAAATGTGAAGACATTCATGGAAGTCTAAGACATGCTGTTCAGCTAGCATTTTTACAAAATGTCAAATTAGATTTAGTGAAATGGTTTTACCCTGAGCAGGAGAGAACCAGCTGTTGTCTTCTGGAGCTCGTAGCGTTCTGGCCGTTTACTTCATGACGGGAGGCGAGTTAATATTTCACCAGCTTTATACCATCAGCCACTGCTTTAGAGTTGTAAAAACGTCACATCTTCCCAGACATGATTAACGACTCCGATTTGTAGAAAACAGAGAACATAAGGTCATTTTCAGATGACATCACCTCCTTTTGTGATTCTGCAGGATTCAAGCACATTTTACAACTATCATCCTGCTTGCTGTTGCTTTTAGACATGTGTACTATTGTGGCCTTTATGGTGATACCAGGTCTCTGAGGCTGATTTTATAACATTGCATTTCTTGTGTTTGAACTGTTCTCTGATCTGTGTTGGCGAATTCTACTGTTTTGTAAAGTTTTCAAGATAACTACGGTTGTGATTTAGAAAATTAGGGCTATACAAGAATAAATTGATTTGAATTGAGAGGTTTTGCAGTGCAGACCCTGGTAATGTACTGGGAGACCTGGTGCCACATTTGGTTGAACAGCTATTCTAATTTTACCAAGGGCATATGTTAATTTTCCATATTAACCTAATTTTTGCAGAATATCATAAACATTTGGTGTTTAATAACAGTTGTTGTATCCTCAGCAGTGTTGGGGAAGTTACTTTTAAAAAGCAAAATGTTTCATTACTCGTACTTCGTTAAAAGGTAACCTGTTACTACTTAGTTACTAGAAAGTACCTTGTAACAAAACTCGTTACTTTTACGTTACTTTGGTGTTACTTTTGTGTTACTGTAATTATGCTTGACTTTGAGCAAAACTGTTGTTAAATTTGTGGTGGATCATAACAGATATTTCTTTCATGCTCTTTTATCAAAAATACCACAGAGCATGTACACATGGTCGTGATGTATTTAATGAACACAGCCCTCACTCGGGGGGAATCGGTTTAGGACGTCTAATTCTGAGCCTGAGCTCATATAATGGAGTACCTCAGCAACTGCCCAAAAGGAAAAAAAAAACTCAAAATCCTCACTGGTGCTGCTGTGAGCGGCAATTTATCTTTGAATATTCTCAGCTGGTTCTTCATCATGGAGTAAAGTGCGACACTCAGTGGACTGAGAAAATGTGCTAGAGTCGTAACTGATGCTCAAGCACCAGTACATGAGTGGTCAAAGGCTCAGCTGCCCGTGGTAAATAAAAAGTAACGTTGCGGCGGAACGAAAAATAAACTACTTTTGTCCGGAAGAAAGCAGTGTTGTTAATCTCCTCCTAAACACGTCCTCAGGCAAGACACTGTGCAATTAGAATTTAGGATTTTCTGCTATTTCTTGCAATATTTCATGAATCCTCTCCCCCAAAACAGCAGTGATTGTGTATAATGAAATTTGAAGTTTCTTTTCATCAATTGCGATAAACAAATAACTTAAGGCAGGAGTTCCAGAAAGAGGGCAAAGAAAAGAAGACTTCGAAGACACCCCTGCCTCTAGCCTCTGACAGTATTGATCTAGTAGTGGTGATTACAGTCACAAGGGGGAAGTACTGAGCCAGCGAGGAGAGCCATCATAAAAAACAAAGATGTAAATGTATTCCAACAAATAATTGGAGGGTTTAATGGCATATACCTGTTCTTTGTCTATTCCTTTTGAGGTTTTCAGTTGATGTAGATGTCACAAAGCCACGTAGACACTTCTGACAGACTGCTGTGTTATCAAAGGTCCACATGCAAAGCATCACTTTGCAAATATGGCATACTTGCGTCAAAATGTTTCTAAAAATAAAAGATGACGTCGATACAGCCACCGTGGAACAGTGTAAGGAGATGGACGATCTAACGTCAATGGAAATAAGAGACTTGTGTGAGTGGACAAAAGTTTAAGTACGCATGGCAAATGACAGTTTTTGATTATATTAGTAGAAATTAACATTAGTTAATGCTCAGAGCAAAGCAGCCATACTCCTGTGGACTCACCATATTCAGGAGGATCACTAAAGCTATGTGGAGTGGGTGGCAGCTCTGATTGAAAGTCATGCTAAAGTTTAAGTTTTTTAACAATTATTAAACAACAAGAAACACATTTGTGATTAATTCAAATGAACCTATATCCTCATAATGAAGTAATCAGGTTGTGCAATGTACAACATAGTTGCTAGGTAACATCCCCAGCATGATGTCATCATTTAAGGAAGTAAAATAAATGTAGATGCAATTATCTGATTGCTTATTTTAATTTGAGTATATTTGTTTGAGAAACATAAAACCAATGTATAATACGTAAAGTAAAAAACTGATAACTGAAATGGAGTAGATGCTTTTCTTTTGAATGCACTGGCAGCAGGTCTGAAGTTGCTCCAAAACAGTTGTTGTTTTGTGCTTTATAAATGTTATTTTTATTGCTTTTTTCTACCTTAGATGTTGCTGCAGTTCATGGTTTTACACTGGTCCAGACCGGAGCGGAGAGGATTTATCTATCTATCTATCTATCGATCTATCTATGCAGTGCCCTCATCTAAAGTGGAACATACAGTAGAAGACTTTTTTTATTGTTGGTTCACAGCATAAACGACAGTTTCACAATGTTCATATGGCTTTATATTAAGGCAAACCTACTGGAGCTCCTCTCCAAAAAGTCTCATAAAAGAGCCATACTTATACAACACATATGCATTTATTTTTGTTTTTGGTTGTTTGAACACAAAAGTAATGGAAAGAATGTGAATGTAATAGTTTGTACTACAGAACATTCTGGAGGTGGGAGCTTTCCTGCATGATTCCATTTACAGAGAGTACAATAGGAGAAAACAGCTTTCAAACTAAGGTTGAGGTCCAAAGATCTGAGGCTGTGCACAGGTTCACAAGGCACGTAAATCAGAAAGTAAATCAGAAATATACAGAGGCGCCAGAAAGCGGAGGCAGACCTGGGACTAGGTTTACACTTAGGCCTAAGTGTAGGCCTGAGAGACTTGGCAAATATGCACATGAAATCCAACTGTAACTTCCTGTTCTTTTGTTGGTGTGATAAAATCAGGAAATGCGTTACATGTGGGATTTGAAACCAGTTTGTGGCGTGCTCACCTGACGCTAACCTGGTTTTGTTGGAGTTCCTGATTGTCTAGACGCCAAAGTGGAGAGTTTCACTTTGTTTAGAAAGCAGCAAATCCAGACGTCAATAAGCATCTGTATCCTTGAGGAGAGACTGGAAAGTCAGGCCTCTGCCCTGGTGTGAAGGAATGGGACGGTCAAAGATCTTGGCATTTGTCCCACGATAAGCCAAGCCTCGGCTCATCTCCAAACTCCGACACCAATTGTGTCCTCAATCTGGGACGAGATACCAAGATTTGTGTAGGAAGTTTTTTATCTCTTAATTATGTATTATTATTTAGATGTGTGTATTATAGTCTAGTACTTTTATATTCAATTTTTTCAATATCCATTATTTTATTTTTTTTAAACTGTTTTATATGTATGTGTCTGATGTTATTACATTTCTAAGCACCATTCAAAGTACATCAATACATTTTTAGTGTTGTTTTTGTGTTATTTGCAAAACAGAATAGACATAATTCTACATTATAGCTGCTTTGGTTTCTGTAAAATGTGTACAAACATTGATTTTGTCTAGGTATATTGAAACTCAGATTGCCTAAACATTTGAATATAAGAAAACATGTATTGCTTTTACATAGACAGAAAGAGCCCTCTGACGCCCAACGCGTCGGGTTGTTTGACGTGTTCTGTGTTCAGAGAGGCTCTCTTGCATACTTTGGTAGTAACAAGTGGTTATTTTGAGTTACTGTTGCCTTTCTATCAGCTCAAACCAAAGGCAATTCACCTCTGACCTCCGGCATCAACAAGGCATTTTTGCCCACCAAACTGCCGCTCACTGGATATTTTCTCTTTTTCTGACCATTCTCTGTAAACCCTAGAGATGGTTGTGTGGGAAAATCTCAGTAGATCAGAAGTTTCTGATATACTCAGACCAGCCCGTCTGGCACCAAACACTATGCCACTTTTAAAGTCACTTAAATCATCTTTCTTCCCCATTCGGATGCTCGGTTTGAACTGCAGATCGTCTTGACCATGTCTACATACCTAAATGCATTTAGTTGCTGCCATGTGATTGGTTGATTAGGAATTTGCATTAAAGTGGAGTTGGATAGGTGTACCTAATAATGTGGCCAATGAGTGTATAAATAATTACAACAATCTATATATTGCAAATGAAGCCCTTTTATTAATTTTTCCAGTGGTCAGTCTTACACAAAGAGATTTTTTTTTTACAAATGTATTTACGCATTTAAAATAATTTTTTCTCCTTAAATAAACCTATTGCACATTTCTGTGTCATACCCATAATGTTTTGAACCATTTACATTTCAATAGAAAAGAATATTGCTTTTTGCACCTTCCCCAGAGACATGGAAGGGGACCAGAGTAGCAAGCATAGGGGATTATCACTGATGCCAAATGCCTACAGAAAAATGTTTGAAAAAACAGCGATTAAAACAGTGGTAATACACAAGTATGAATTAAAATGTGTGATGACTTCTTGAATGCCCAAAGAATGGGGTCAAATGACTTCAAGGCATTTTTCAGCCGTAACCAATTGATTCTTCAGGAAAATTTAATTATATTCTTCAACAGAAACTTTCTGATATAGTATGTGCCCGACCTGCACTTAAGATTCAAAGAATGAAGTAACCGAGTTGTGAATTAAATCCTTAACATTTATGCTTCAGTAATCAGCCTTCAGTGGAAAAAGTTTAGACACCACATCTTTTCACCATAAAACAATTCAGGAAAAAAAGTTGATACATACTTGAAGTAGTACAGACAATAATATAATTACATCTTCCTGCCTGCGACACATGTAGCTCCTAAGCACTGATCACTGATCCAATCCACCTGCTGGGGCTTAGCTAGAAACAGTATCAAATTTGCGTGTATGTATGACTTCTTTTGTATCTATCTAATTTTATCTGCTTTCATTTGAACAAATGTATGGTGCTATAAATTTTGTTTTATAAAAAAGTATAACGTATATAAAAAAGTATATAACGAGCAACCCTAATGAGACACTAATTTAAGAATAATTCCAATTTGAGCGGTAGTCAGAATTGGTCAAATAGGATTTGTACATGTGACCCATATGGGACAGATGGGTGAAGATGAATAGAAGTTACTTCAAGCACTTCTGAACTTTTTTTTGACACTTTTGACACTGCAGTGTATATAAAACCTCCATGTTAAATTGTAACATGTAAAAAACACACTTTAAAAAGTTCATTCAGTAATTTTTTTCTTTGTTAGGATTTGCGAGAAGGCATTACTAACATCTTACTAAACGTCTTAAAATCATCTTCCAAGTCTTTCATTTTCAACCACTTCTTTTCACTCTCTTTGACAAACATGGAGTCTGGTTCTAGCCACGGAGGAGGAACCTTTCGAGGTCGACAGCAGCGAAGTATGCGGAGACGAATGCCTAGATGGCGCTAGCTTGGTGTTAGCCGCTGCAGCCACTAACAGGGATGCGTTGGGCTGGGGTTTGACTTCTCTGAGCGCCCGGCAGCTCAGTCCTTTGCCGCAGGGACACCGTTGGAAGAGCTCCAGACCTGGGTTTCCTTTGCGGCGATGTTTGGTGCAGACTTGACCGTCGCGTAACACTGGTTTGCAGATGCGGGTCCAGAAGTGACGGGCGCAGCACAGGCCGTCAGAGCAGTCAGACGAACGCACACATGGGTCACCCACCTGACCTGGAAATGGTATCAAAATAAATGTTGCAAAGATATTAAGCAAAACACAACTTCAGTTTCAGGTGACCACTTAAGGCCTGAGGATTTTAAGAAGTACTATCTACCTGTGCCTTTCTATATAAATACGATGTATTATTTATATTATTTTATTATTATCATTACTTAAGAAGTACAGGTGAAACTTGGAAAATTAGAATGTCGCTTAAATGTTCATTTTCTTTTGTAAGTAAATTTACAAAGACAATGAGGGAAAGACAGTTAAGCCCTCAGCACAGACCAAGTGACGGGGAAGAGATGTTGAATCAGAGAATTAATGGCAAAGGCAGCATAAGAAATAGCAAGACACGATAGAAGTTAATTAGAGTTTTCTCAGAAAGAACACAAGGTCTCCAGCGCTTTTTACGAGATGCAACAACACAGATATAGAAAACTGGTATGAACTACATTGATTTATCATACGTGAATGTCCATTTCAAAGGTACATCGATTTCTAATATCGATCTGCATAGATCTAATATTTGCATATTGTATCTTGTTCAATTTGTGAACCATCGTTTACACCTTTTCAAAATGTGTATTGTGATTTATATTTTTTATATTCTGTTTGAAATAAATACAATTAAACCTAAAAACAAAGATGGCTGCCAGTTCATCTCTACAGGCTTAAGAAATAGAAAGTAAAAGAGAATCAACATTTTCTTATGAGGCACCAATTTCCACAAGTCTTCAAGCTCAGACCGGATGAAATTGGTTAAATCTGGTGTTGGGGCTGGGCGATAAAACAATAACGATATATATCGTGTTAGACACGCGTTCTATATCTAAAATGGGGTCAATAGAATGTTTGATCATTTAATTTCACTCTGTTAGAAAATACAGCAAGTAAAGCAGAGTCAGAAGCGTGCAGCACTCTGGGGGACGTAGGCAGAGGTTTCTCGACCAATCACGGCTGAGCACGAAGCACAAAACATTCTGGAAAATGCAACAAAAAAAAACTGCATCGTACGTAGCATTCATGGATCTATGGATCTTGTTTCAATGCTGTGCCAATAGTCATGCACGTCCGTGCGAGGAATAGCATGTGCGGCGCGGCAGAGGCAGTGGGCAAAGAGACTTGATGCATGCGGCAAAAGCAAGAGATGAACACAAGACACTCGAAAACAGCTAAACCAAGATAAAACCAGGATTAAACCAGGACTAACAATGGGGGACACCAGCCCCCATTGTTAACCTGAGTTCTCATTCTCCGTTATTGTAATCAAGGGCTGCTAACGTGTGTTTGCCGACAAAACAAATGTATTTATTTAGTTAAAAAAACATTTTTTTTAAACAATCAATAAATATCTATATAGACCGATATGAATTACTTACAATGTGATATAGTTTTCAGCCATATCGCCCAGCCCTAACTGGTGTGCACTGTTTGGTTGGAATGAAAATCTTAAGCCACTCAGCCTTTTCTGGTTTAACAGCCTTGCATTAGGAGTACAGGCTACATGCGGCACATGCAAACCAACTAAACATTTTTATTGACTTTTTCTGACCTTTTTCTGGTCCTCCCTTTGTGTCGGCTCGTCCTCGTCTCCTCCAAGACTTCTGTGAGGACGCACTGTCGCCTGAGGTCGGAATTGTCTGAGACACCAAACCGTCATCGTTCCCAACACAGATATCTGCAAGATATAATGATAATTCAACAACAAACATTATGCATTATTGTGTTCAGGTTTGGCCCTTAAAGCTGGCGTACCTCACTTTTTCTTTTCATAGATACTACATTTTGTTTGTTTCAACAGCAATAGTGAAATGTTTGAACAAATCAAACAAAATGCTGTCTTCATCTTAATAGAAAACATCTTATCTTTTGCATACTTGTAAGATAGAGGAGAGCCTCTATTTCACACTTTGGGCCGAGAGCTGATTACCTGAGTGAAGTTTTCCGGCTGAAAAAGTTTATCGAAAGATGTGGCAGATGCCAAAATGACTAGCCTGACATCAGGATTCTGGTCAGGCAGGACATGAGTATGAAACTGATCCATTGTGCTGTGATTACCAACCAAACCAGGAAAAACAATGCCTCCTGCCTCTGTTGGATAGTCCAACAACCAACCAAAGCAACATGATAAACCTACATTCCTTCCCACACTTGTCTTTTCAGTGTAATTTATCTATTATCTATTTTATCTATTTATATATGGTAAAACAAATCTCAATTACACAGTGCTAATGGGGTCTGGGTGCACAGAAAACTCTGTCCTGTGTCCCATGCTGCCAAAAAATTACGCAGCCGGGTATTTCTTGTGTGTGAGCTGTGGTGGGAGCTGCGAATGCATGCCCCATTTAGAGAGTAGAAAAAGTCAGAGACGAAAGCTCTGTTGTGTAAGGAATTGTTATGTCGCTGAACAATGAGGCTCATCTGCTCATCATTCTATAAAGCCCGCCCTGACAATTTGATTGGTCCGGTAAAATCTTGTTCGGACCAGTGGGGGCAGGTCCCGGCTCAAAAACATCCACGAGCACGTGTGCCCGGTGCTTGCAATACCACCCCAGGGCCAGTGGGGGGGGACCCAGAAAGAGAAATTATCCAATGCGTATGCAGTCTTCTTTACTCTCAAAAATGGCTTTACATGGTGGTCCGAAAGTCGGCTCTTGGCCCAAAACTACGCCCCAGATGTGTGAGCAGCTAACGCTTGGCTGCTCCCAGGCTACAAAACTATATGCATGTGAAAATCAATTTTGAGAGCAAGGCACTAGATAGATGATTTTATGTTTTTTGAAAGTTAGGTACTTCAAATTCAAACTGGAGAAAACAGAAGGAGCAGGTAGACATAATTTTACCATGTGGCTGATATTAGATTAAAGCTGCACTAACTGACTTTGTGAAATTTTCGAATGTGAGCGCTGGCCTCACTCTTTCTGCTCGCCCTCCCCGCACTCACGGAGCTTTCGCCCCCCACTACCCCCCTCTCCCTCAGCCTGTGCTCAAACGCCAATTGTTTACGGCGCTCACGTCTCACAATATGGATCGCACGTGGATCGAACGTGGATTCAGGTTAGGCCCTGTTTATACTGAGACGCTGCGCAGACGACCAGGCTCCTAATGCAAATTTCTCAGCGTTCACATGAGGTTGAAAAACGATGTAGTTCTAGCACCCGGCCAGTAGTGGGCAGAGAAACACGAAACACGACCCCCAGCCCCCCTCCCGGCAGTATATTCACTTCCTGTGCCAGACCCTCAGAAAGTACCAACATCATTCTGTATTTTAACAGCAGCTGTGAACATGGGAACTGAACCTAGAGCTTCGCGTGGTCTCGTTTGGACGAACGAAGGAGTAGAATTATCCTCTGTGCCGCGCTGGAAGCCCACGTAGCTAGTTAGTGCGCGCGGCGCCATTGTTGTTTTTATTTGTTCTCCGCTACTGCGCATGTCCAAATTTACGTGCGGGGAGCAGCGCGGAGGTGGGGTTCAGAGCAGAGGGGGATTTCACACCTTTTTCCCTCTCGTGGGTGTGAAAGAGCTCCCTGCTGTGCAGCGTTTCTGAGTTGTCCCACTCTGCAGGCTGCATCTCAGATTCAGATTCAGTTTATTTGCCATTTGCAGTAAAAAAAAACACATTGGAATACATTAGCGAAAAGTATCCAGTGTGCACAGACAAATACAGACATAAAACAACATTAAAAGACAAAAATAAAACAAATAAAACAGTAAACAAAAGTCACTGTGAAATCGATCGACTAAAACAGTTCAAAACAAGTGCAAATCATTAAAGTGCTCTGTTCACACTGATAACAGCTTGTGGATAAAAACTGTTAGCGTAACGAGATGTCCTGCATCTCAAAGAGCGATATCTTCTGCCAGAGGGAAGAAGCTGGAACATGGCTTTCCCAGGGTGGCCAGAAGAGTCATTGACAATCCTAAGAGCTTTGTTTAAAAGTCTGGATTTATAAAGAACCTCCAGAACAGGAAGCTCACAGCCCACGGTCCTCTTTGCAGAGCGGAGCACCTTGTTTAAAGTCTAAATCTCTTTTCTTTATCTGTGAGATTCCAAACCACACAGACACAGAACCAACAAGTAAACTCTCACTGGTGCAGCAATAAAAGTTAAGCAGAATCTTAGAGTTAGTGGTAAATTCTCTAAGTTTACGCAGAAAGTAGAGACGCTGACGAGCTTTCTTAACGACTCGGTCAATGTTTTTAACCCATTTCAGGTCGTTCGACAGAGTTAAACCCAGAAACTTTCACTCCTCTGCAATCTGCACCTGGGAGTTGTCGATTACGGCAGGCAAATGAGAACTATTGCGACTGAAGTCGTAGACCAGTTCACATGTTTTCGATGCGTTCAACTGGAGGTTGTTAGTTTTACTCCACTGAACCACATTTTGTATCTCTGCTCTATAAGAGGATTCATCATTGTTACTGATGAGACCGATGATGGTGGCGTCATCAGCATATTTAATGATCAAGTTTGAGTCAGAGGAGGACACACAATCGTGAGTGTACAAAGTAAAAAGCAAAGGACTCAAAATACACTCATCTGAACACTTACGTTTTCACCCCCCTGAAACACAGTCTCCGTATGAGCGGTTGGTAGCAACCGGCATCCAATTATACCGTTTTACTGCCACATTGTCTCCGTATAAACTCAGCCTTAGCCTCTGCCGCTTGTTTACCTCAGCTGTCTGTGCTAATGAGAGACATGTGGCTTGTCTCAAGAAAGTGGGGGCCAGTGGTCCGCTGTGATCGATGACAATCTGGTCCCGAAACAAAATTACATGCCAGCTCAAATCTGCGCTACTTTTTCTTCAAAAGGACGTATATCTTAATGCATTGCAAGGATATGGATTGAATTTTCGTAATGAATACAAAAATAAAGTGAGGTAATACAGCTTTAATTTGAGCTTACAGTCTGTTTCGGTTGGAGGGAACAATGTTGTAACATGGTAAAGACAATTTTCCTTCATTCTGTTTTACTTTTAACATTTGGGTGACTCACTGTTGCTGCAGCGGCTGCCGGGGCAACACATCCCATCTCTGTGGCAGCGGCGTTTGCGGCGGCGGCATGTGTGGCAGCGGGAGTGAGGAGCAGCTTTGGGCGACGAGTGACAGTAGCTCCCCTCTCTGCACTCCAGGTCACTCATGCACTGGTACAGCTAACAAAACAAGACATATATATAATTATTAATATGAGGTTATAAATATTAATTTAGTTCATTTTCTAGCCCTTTATAAGTCCATTTCTGGGTTGGCGGGTGACAATCAGAGCTGCTTCCCAATGCTCATAGCACAATTCCCTCGCTGATCCTCCGGCGGGTGGTGAGTCCACAGGAAGATGGCTTCTCCGTCAGCAGTGACACGGCCTTGGTGTTTCAGCGGGGGCTTCAGGCAACATGGTTATCTTGTAAAGTGTCTTGCCCAGGGACACAACGACAGCAGACATTAGTGGGAGCAGTTGGAATAGGTCTTGTGGGGGATCCAACCCACAAACTTCAGGCCCAAAGGCCAATGCTCTACCAACTGAGGAACTGTTGTTATAAATATTACACTTGATAAATTTGACAACATAAATCAGAGTCACACAGTCCAAAGTCAGAGCAGGTTACTGAGATGGATCTAATTGGGTTTTTACCATAAATTAAAGGTTAGATAAAGGTTACATTTAAATAGATGGTGCACCCCAATTATTGCCCAAAGATATCTGCCAACTAGTTTGTGACAAGGCATTATGGTTTTAAAATCAGCTACAACTCCAGGCTGCCTCCAGTAATAGGAGGCCAGTTACAAGGACCAATTTCTGTGAGTGCCTGCAACAATGCGGTCGCTGTATTGGACTACTGTGGTGAAGAGGCAATGCTCTCATTTGCAATTTTTTTTTTTTTTTTTTTTTTTTTTTATTGCAGACAAACACATATACAGAAAAAAAAAAAATAGAAACAACGAAAAGGACTAGTTCAGATACATTGTAGACAGAGATTACAAACAATATGTAGTTGGAGATACAGGGGGCCAAAGAAGAAACCCAGAAGGGCACATAGGAGGGGGGGGGGGGGGGGGGCTATACTATGATGTTTCTATACAGTCTATGGTCTATACCCACACATACACACACACACCCACACACACACACACCCACACCCATAAACACACACACTCCACACACACACACACACACACATACACCCCACAGATAAGATAAGATATAAAGTCTGCCCGCCTGAGTTTCACCAAGCTAAGCGGAACCCAAGTGTTTTTCTTAACTAAACGTGTCATGCATTAAAATAAGCTTTCGCTTACCCTGACTTGTGTATTATCATTATATGCACATATGCACATATTATTCATGTTATTATTATATTTATCTACTTATTCATTAATTTTTTATTTTTTTATTATTATCAATAATTTTATTTTATTATTTTTATTTTATTTTAATTTATGTATTTATTTTTCCTTCTTCTCCCCCTAAATCAGTCTAAATCTATGTGATGCATTAAAAAAAAAGAGCCTGGGCATGGTAACCTCCCCTCCTGCGGGGCCCCCGGAAGACAGCGGAGCGCAGGACACTGGTAGATGTCAGCCTTTATCCGTGCACCGGGCTGGCACAGACGGGCAGTGTCATGATATTACAGTGTCAATGTATATAACCCATACACACACACACACACGCACGCGCACACACGCACGCACACATATGTAAATAATAATAATAATCATAATAATAACAACAACAACAACAATACAATACATTGCTATTAGTGTAAGCAATAATTCTAGGAAGGTGTTTTCTGTGTCTTGAGGTGCGGTGGTCCAAGGTTATTTATGAATAGAGTCCATGATTTAGTGAAGGCCGCCATATGCTTCTGCTTCTCTGCTGTTTGTTTTTCTAATAAAATATGGTCTCTGAGTATGTTGGTCCAGTGGTTGATATTGCAAGTGTTTTTGTTTTTCCAGTTTTGGTATATAACCTTCTTAGCGAGAGTAAGAGAGATGAGAAGACATGAATGATATTCATGTGGTAGGTCTATTTGTGTGATATCTCCTAGAAGACACAGTAATGGATTTAAAGGGATTCTGCAACTCAATATGGAGGAGAGTTTATCTGTTATTCAATGGTGTAGGTTTGGTTCCAATCTTGGTGGGGACATTCACTACGACCTGAGTCTACACCCATTGACACGGGGTCCAGAGTTTCTCTCCCAGAATTTGTTGTGTAATCACACACTATATTTGCAATAGTGTGTTGCCTTCTATACTAAACTCAGCTGTAGACTGAATGAGAAGCAGAGTTTCCTATGTATGTTAACAGAAGATTAATCATCACAATTAATAATTTGCTATTACTTGTTCTCTTACTTACTTTCCAACTGTTAAAAAAGCTCCTGATATCTTTTATCTTTTTTTGTGGAGGTGGCATTTTTTCTAAATTATATAAGAAGGTATAGACAATCAAAAACACACATTTATATACATGAACTGCAGAATCATTTATATAACTTGGCCAATGTCAAAAGTTACATAGTATTTCTCAACACAATGAGTTAACAAGAGTTTGGCAATAAGTAACAGTGTGGATTTTTCTATATTTTCTTTTTTTTTATTCCATTCTCAACCCAAAAAGGCAAGTAATGACTCACAGGGCTCTCAAGTATGCAAAATAAAAACTTAAATGACCTGTTGTGGTGTGTTTTGCGCACAACCAGCATGCATCGTTAACGCAATGGAAAATTTAGGTATCCGAGCTTTAATTTCGGGAGCGCTGGTTGCGCTTTGGGAAGAGTCAGGGGAGAGACATGTCAGAGACACAGGGGAGAAACGGGGGAGATATGATGGTCCGAGAGACATGGTTCTGTCTGCATATGGTCCGAGCTCGGTACCATGTTAGAGCTGTGCTTTCACTGAGCGCCGCGGCTGTCATTACAAAGCGGCAGCAGCTGCACCAGGACGTGCACATTCGAGTGCATCGCTTGAATGTGCTTAGAGCAAATAACAGCAAGTGCCCGCTGTCACACATTTCACAGAAATCACATTATCAGCAGATAAAGGTTGTAAATCGTGGATCCGTGGAATTTTTTCATCCCTAGTTTATCCTGATTCACACAACACACCCACTTATACATTTTGGATAGTAAGAGCACAATAAGTATTTTTTCAGCCTTTCAACCAACCTGTTTCTTTATTGGAGCCAGTTCTGTTCTGTCTCTGTATGCCGTGTGAGCTCCTCGAAACATTAAACAGTGCGCTGACAGATTAGAAATAACGTAAGTACTTTGAATGGTAATAGATCTACAGTACTTTCCTCTGATTACTCACGTGCTACAACGCTCAGGGAACGAAAAAAAACACTTGCTTCACGCTGGCTAACTTTTAAAAATTAAACAGTCGCTCAGTGCTTCAGTTTGGCGCTGAAGAAGACAGCCAATCACTGCAGAGAACGGAACGGGTCACGTGCTGCTGCTGCTGCTGTTGCTCTGGAGGCGAGGAGGAGGCGCGACGTATGCACAAACGGAAGATATGTGTCCCGGACTGTCCGGGTCACGGGACATCATGTCATTTTGGTGGGAACTTTTTAGTCCTCACCAAATATTGGTGGGGACATGTCCCCATGGTCCCCACGCAAACCTACGCCCTTGTGTTATTGCAATCCAGAGTGCTTGTACCGGGGGACAGTTCCAAGTGGCATGTAAATACGTGTCTGTACTATCCTGATTGCAATGTGTGAAAATGTCTGTGTCTTTTGCAACTCTTGAGATATTACATATGAATTTGAACTGTTAATTACTACAGTGGTAGTGGATCATTAACGCATGCTGAATTAGTGAATGGGATCATTCTTACGCTGAAGTCCAGCCCGGGCTCCCACATGCTGCGGTTGGCTGGCAGGATGTGGCTGTTGCGGAGGATCACGGTGCGGATGGAGTTGAGTTTGACCCGGGACGCAACAAGAAGAGAGGCAAAGGAGAGGAGCAGGAGCGACACAGTCATCTGCAGCAACATGACTGGAAACATACAAGAATTGTATTATGAAGATGAAAGAGAAATCAATCTATATGGTCTGTACTTCCATCACAATGCAAACTGTATGAAAGCAAAACTGTATAACATGTTGAAAGTAGACATGAAAAGTTGCTTTTATTGCATACAGTACATATGAGAAATGTATTTTGTGTTATCTAATTTGCATATTCAAATACATTTTCAAAGAAACTTGTAATACATGGATATTTCCAGTATATTTCTGGCTTTATTGGAACCAAGACAGTATATTAGGACTGAACTGACAGAGTGCTGATGTCACCATAGTATGTGCTGAATAAAGAAGAAGCAGATTTTAACATAAGCTAGCATTTGTTCTAATGGGGTTTGCTTTGTGCCGTAACAGGGGCAGATATGTCACTAAGATGATTGCAACAAGCTAGAGTTTTCCCTGGATCTGATTGGACAGACCTTGTATGGCTCATATCTGGTATTACAAAGTCGATATCAAAACATAAACACCAGGAGAGAGAGAGTGCTAAAACGCAGTTTGTAAGCCCAAAATGATTGAAAAAAAAATGAGTGTAACAAATGGTTGCTAAGCAACAGTGGGAGTCACTTCTGAGCTTGCAGATTAGCACTGTCCATTTATTTACAATCTATGATATTGATTTGATCAAAATTAAACCTATTTTCCCAACCAGGATTTCTTGGGACTTCAGTATGTTGTTCTAAACACTGATCTATAGTGAAAAAAGTACTATTGCAATTGGTTCATCTCAAAACAGGAGGATGGTCTGACAAGATTTGTATTGCATTAAACCATATATTGTAACAGTGGAAAAGCATAACTTGTGTCACCTGTCTCATTCAGAGCAGTTTTCACACTACAATGCAGCATCCAATCAGCCCTCGGTATGCATGTATGCATGCAAGAGTTAAGAGGTGAAGTATTTAGAATGAAATATAAGATAAACATTTCTTGGAATGTTCCTCAGAAAAAGTAACAAGATAGAAAACGTATTTTTTGTGTGTGACAAATTTTATAATTTACACTGCTTGGTTACAACCTCTAGAAAGTAACTGAGTTACATTACTTTTGTCATAGCAAATATAAATATATGTCTAAAGTTTCAACATTTCACATTAGTTTTGCATTTTAAGTGGAATTACAGAGATAAATTGTATTTTCTTTATATATATATATATATATATATATATATATATATATATATATATATATATATATATATATATATATATATATATAAATCAAACAATGGCAGTTGTATAAATGTTATTCATGAGTGTGCATGTTCAGGATTTATGTTCTCATCGGACCATGTTGAAAACGAGATCAGATAAATGTAATGTAAATTGAAGAAGCAATAAAACAGAACAACAAATGCCGATAGTGTGTCATAGAACAGTTATAGCCTGTAGTGAACGAAAGGTGTGGTGTAACCCAGATTGTGTAAGAAAAACAGCGAATTCTGTAATAAATTATGTTCAAATTATGTTTACTAGCGTCTGCTGGTTGCGTATAGCTTCACTTACCTATGTCTGGGAGGGGGTCCGTGTTCGGCTGCGGTAAAACCCCTTACCAACGAAAAAAACGGAAATCCTCAGTTGGGTTGCGTTATTTTTTGGTCTTGAGCTGCTGCGGCTGCTGCTAGTTCGCTCTGGGCTCATTCGTGAACTAGTGGCATACAGTAGATTGAGTAGATTACAACTGTAGATGAAAGAGACGCCCTGTTGCCCGCGGAGGCCAACCGGGCCGCTCACCTGTCCTCGCGCACGATCGATACCCCCCCCACTTACACCCCCCCCTCCCCTCAACCCCCTCCCGCGAGCCATTCACACCTGCTTATGGGACCGATACGCGCTTCTGTGGGCTCCAATGGAAACAATACTAGCAATACATTTATTTTTCAACACACAAAAACGCCATTTAGAGTAACTTTGTTTGGGGGACAAGTCTTTCGGGGCCGTTTTGGGTGATTAATGGTTTAGACACCAGCGATGATGACAGAATTCCCCCAGGAACCATCAATCTGTCGCAAGCCAAATTATACCAATCTCGCACTCACACGTTGACAAACAGGTGAAACTTATCGTTCCAAAGGTCATTTATTTACTATAATTCATCTAACAAATGTAAAACCAGTACATGGTATAGACTCATTACATGTATTGTGACATATTCAAGCCTTTGTTTGATATAATGTTGATTATATGGGTTATGGCTTACAGTCCGTTTTCAAAATACACTAATTTTCAAGAATCTTTTATTTTGTGTTTTTACAAGCTGTGAGCCGAATATCAACATTATAAACAAAGCCAAGGCTTGATATATCTCACTTTGCATGTAATGGGTCTGTCATAGTTTCGCATTGTTTTAATTTTCACCCTTATGGAGTTGAAAATAGAACCTTGCAATTACCAGGCATTAACTTTCACGCTATGTACAGTACATAAATGTTACATGTTTGATAACCTGTGACTCAGGATGTTAAGTTGTACTTTACTGTCCCCATAGAATTTTGTCTTCTGCATCTGACCCATCCTTCACTGCCACTATGGCCTCTCAAGAGCAGTTGGCGCTGCAGGGACCCATCTCCAGGATCAAAGCTGGAGGATTTTTGGCTATTGTATTGTACATCTTTTTAATGTAGAGTACTGGCATAACGCAGTAGTAGTAACAGGAATAGTAATAGTAATGGGCAATGAGGGGGAGGATCTTGCCCAGGGACAGATTAGCACTCTTCAGCCATCTCATCCCTTTACAGATAAGAAAGATTGTATCCATGATAAAGTAAAGACACAGATTTTGAGTTTGGCCATAAGGATCAGTGTTGTTGCAAATTACGTTGATTGCAAAGAGACCACAACAAATCTATTATTAGAAGTCCATCAGCAGTGGAGACTCTTTTCAACAACATAAAGAGCTCAATCTAACCCTCGCCACGGGGGTGTGAAGACGGCCTGCGGTTACAAGAGCTAGTTTTCTCAACCGTGCCATAGCAACTGCATGTGCTGTAGTACAATGCTGGGTCCAGCTGGTGGCGCTAATACTAACTCCAGCGACTACCTCGTTGTGTGAGTTAAGTTTCCGTTTCTCTTCCTGTTTACATTCTGCTATGTCTATGCGCTAACAGCTCGAGCATGGATCGCGTTGTTAGCATCAAAGCAACGTGTTAGAATGTGAGATGTGTCTTTCCCCAAAGTGCAGCAACCCAGTGGGACACTGGTGCGTGTGTGAGTATGTGTGTGTGTGTATGTGCGGGCGGGCCTTTTTAGCAACGAGCGTAAGCGCTGAGAAATGGTATGAAATTAATGAATGAGAATGAAAGAATGAAAAGTGTGGCGTACGAGCGGAGCGACCGGAGCCAGGTAGGATACAAGTGTGTGTTGGTGTGTTCTGGCAATAAAATAAAGTCTGGTGGGAGATGGTGGGAGACGATCAGTTGCCGAAATCGGTCGATGTGAGCGCTCTTACAACTGGAGATAAATAGTCGGTCCCCAGTTTCAGTCAGTTGCCCGTGTTCTACTTTTCGGCAACTAGTTGTCCTCAGTTTCAGAGATATGACCCGATGTGAGCGCTCCATGCGCCGCTCCGACAACGTGTGTGTATTGCGTGTATTGCGAGCCCGCAACAGTTTATGTCCGAAAACACACTGTAGTTGAGGCCAGTTGCTGTCGATGTACGCGCTGTTATTCCCGAGACTGGTCTGCTACTGGGAGTTGCCCGTTTTCGTCAGATTGTCGATGTGTGCGGGGCAGCTCATATGCGACGGATATAATCAGTTGCCAGTCCGATGTACGCTAGGCTTAAAGCCCGGATCTAATCGCGAAGTGGCCCAGGCCCATTTTAACCGGGCTTTAGGCTGTGCATGTGACCGCAGCCTTAGGTCATGTACAGTATGTAGCCGCAGCCTAATACCACGCATCACTGTGCGGAGTGGGCTGGAAAATGCCCACAACTTACATCAATCATCAGTATACATGGATCTATGGAAGCTTTTTTGTGTCATCAGATTTTGAATTTTAAATGAGCTGTTTTATCTTTGCATTTCAGTCATTAAAAATTCAGTTTACAAAATTCAATGTAATTAAAATGTCAAAATTACCTATTCACCTTCAAAATATTCAATATGTTTATTTTCAATCCTAAAATTCAGACCTGAATTAATCTATTTGAATTTTTCAACATCTTGAATAATTTTGTCTGCAAATTTCAGTCACCGATTATCAATGTCATATTGTTTTTCATTTAAATTCAACAGTCACATGACACATCCGGTGTTCGGACGATTTGTGTGCTCTGTCAGTTGGTCTGCGCATGCGCAAATGAACTCTGTTTTTTCTTCAATGAAATTGGAATCTCTCATTGCTTATGTCTCTCCGTTGCAATGGATATATTTATATAAGTTAAAAGGTTCTGTCAGTGAAAGTTTTACTTTGCTTCGATTAGATACATGTTATCTGCAAATGAACACATAGGAGTGTGGGAGCCAAGCTAAGTTTAATTAGATTGCTGTTTTGCATGTAGCACAAATTGTATGTTAGAGTGTGCACGTGCACAGAGAGGCTCGGCCGTGCTTTGACCAATCAGAGCTGCTGATCAGAGCAGTGGTAGAGGGGAGTCAGAGCGGGAAGGAAACAAACAGAGTTTGTGGCAGTAAAGTGTGGATTTAAAGAAAACCAAAGGATTTAAGAAGAAAAAAAGTTCAGGATGACAAGGGACACTAAAATCCCCAATAAATCCGATCTTTACGAAGGCTGTAGGTTGTCTGTCAGATGAGGACGAGCTGTTTTAATTTACATTGAGATCTGTGGGACTATTTTCTGGGTAGCTCGCGTGAATTTAGTCTGCAGGCGCCCCCTGTGCTCATGGGTGGGACAGCTATAAGCTAGTAATACCCTATCCAGTAGTATAGTAGTTTGGCAATGGCGGCGAATTCAGTAGAAAAGTAATTATTTCTCGTTTGGGCCCCAAATATCAAGAAATTGAAGCCTGAGAAAGAGGAATGTTTAGCAGATTTCATTGCTGGCAAAAATGTTGTGGCTCTACTCCTCACGGCTCCGTTAGTGGCATAGGAGATGGCAGGCTAAATGCTAAATGCCTCACTCCTTTGTACACATTACTTAACCCCTCCCACCTGTTGATGGAGCTCAATGGAGCAAATCCAGACCTTAGTACAAAATGAAATTAGAACAAATGGAATGCTAACAACAGACTAATAATCATCATAATAAGCATTATATTCATAATAGGACTTTTTAAGCGACTTACATACATGCATGAACTGGTGTGCTTTAAGATTTTAATGTGTGTAATAAAAGGAGTATAAATATAAATACTCACAGTCATACGGTTTATTTTTCTGCTACACGTTGAGATATTTTTTGCTTATCCTTATACTTTCTACTAAATATATTATGTCAAATTTCTAAAACCTTTAATAATTCCCTTATCATGTTCAAGGTACTTTTATAATGCATAATATTTCTTCAAAATTAGAACTCTGTCATGTGTCATGTGTCGCACTGTGTCATACAATCACCGGCATCCGCCATTTTGGATACGGTTTCACTTCCTGGTTGCTTGATTATGTCATTGGCCGCTGGTCGTGTGTGAAAGTTATACTATTAAAGTCACTTAGACCTGAGGACTTGGTCTCGTCCCTCTTTGTCCAAGCCCTGCAGCGCTGTGAACCAGCAGTTTACAAACAAAAACCACAGTGACACCTTATCCTCAGACAAGTGAAAGTATTCAGCACGACGTGTCAAGTTTTGCAACATTGACTTGTGGGACAAATTAGGCACATTGTTAATTTTGGTTCTTTTTACATGTCAACGTTTTCTTAAAGGTGGCGTGACTTTACGACCAGAATTTTTTTTTTTACATTTTCCATTTTTGAAGGGAAATGGAAAATCAAAAAAGGCTATGTTGCACTTTCAGGCACACAGCAATATACAAAAGCGACCATTTTGGTTTTTTCCATTGTTTATAAGACATGTATATTATAATAGTCAGATTTGGGAACTAGAAAATGCAATAATCAACCTTTTTTATAATGTGTCTAATACATTTCGGCGTAAATCGATTACCCGGAAGTGAAACAAGTTTGTTTACTTCAGCCCCAGACGCACGGGATTAGTATGACCAGTGGACCTGTGTGTTTGTTTGTGTAAAGGAAAACCATCACATGTTGAACATTTACAGCAACCAAGGACAGCGTTATTGTTGGTAGCATTACACAGTATTTCGGTCTATCAGGTGCAGCCTTAGTTTCCCCGTGTAGCAGTTTCTACTGTCTACGGGCTCACTTCCATTATTTTAAAAAGAGGAAACACTCTTGGCTGTTTACAAGTATGTTCCATGGATCAAACTACTATGAGCTAACGCGGCGCAAACCCTTGACTACCTACAACACCCGCCTCCCGCGCTCGCTGAATGGTTGGATGGGATACAATCGAAGGAACTGCAGCCACTAAGATCAGACCCAGACGTACATGTAGGGAAATAATAATTGACCAGAGTTTACGGATGGCTAAGGCCAGGCTAGATGATTATGATATTTATATATATATATATATGTAAATTTCTCCTCTGTGAGATAAATAAAGCAATCTTATCTTATCTTATTTTATGATTAATCATTTAATATTCAAGTTACCTATTTATTGAAGAATTTAGATTTGTTTTTAATTGCAATGGATTTACTCAGATTTTCAATATTTCTATGTTTTTCCGGCTCAAAAATGTGTTTATCAGCATCAAACATTGCTTGTAGAAAATACAGCCTAGCAGTTAAAAAGAATATATCTATATATATATTTCACCAAGACAT